TTTTTTTAACTTACTACTCATTTATTGCTTTTTCTTTTTAACCTTTTTTTCCTGTTTGAATTTTATTCTATTAATATATCCATTTAAAAACCAAAATCAAAGTTATATCAGTTGTAACATTTTAATGCTATTAATATACGTATACATGTGTATTTTTTTTTACGAAGAATATCAAAAATATGAAAACTGTAATTAGCACCAAATATAAAGTAAAAGTTACGTTATGATAAAACTTAAAAAAAAAAAATTCTTTCTTTTTGTTTGCTTTCGTTGAAATTTAGTAGTTTTTGATGGTTGGCCAAATTGATCAGCACTATCCAAACTAAACTTTTTGAACATTAACTTTTTTTTTTCTCACTGTTAATCTTAGTCGGTTTTGTGCAAGTTTTAATAAACATAAAAAAACTTTTATTGCTCATTTATACTGTTTAGCAGGATCACTTTTTTTTTCCACAAAATTCACTACATTTGATCTCAGTCCACTAGTCTATCAAGCATCAATTTAAGATTGTACACGGTTTCGTTTCAAGACTTATTTTTACTGCTTTACATTAGAACTGTTACTGCTGTTATTGTTATGTTTTTTTTTTGTTAAAAATAAGGCAGTTCCTAAAAAGAATTTTTATTGTAAATAAGCATCAGTTAGTACTGTTTCATTGCTTCTCATTTTACCAGTTTTTAACGCATAAATCTATGCTTTTCTAATAGGATACAAGAAAAAAGTTTGTCATGGTTTCATAGCAGCAACAATAATTGAATCGATCAAAAAAATTCTTTGCTTCTACCAGACGTACATAACTGAAAGATGTGAATAACATGACAATGCTGCCAACATTTAATACATCTTTGGAATAAAAAAAATTGTACAAACATTCTTTAAACAACACTTTTGTGTTAAAAAAAAATGTTATACAATTATTCAAAAGTATTGAAAGTTCAAATCTGGTCATGGTTAAAAAGTTCTCATGCAAATTTGAATAACAAACATTTCTATACTGCCATAATGGCAACCTAACAATGGCTATGACTGGTATCAAACCAGCATTGGTAAAAAAAAGTTTCAATAGTGAACAACGAAGTACAATAATGGAACCCTCGATTAGTTTATACTAATTTTTGAAGTTTTGTTCGTAAGTAGTATGCACTCGAATTCTTGGTCTGGAACGGAATTTATATCAGTAACCAGTTAAGCCGATGAACCTTTACTCACTTATTATACTCCAAGTTCGTCAATGTACTTGTCATTAGGTAATTCACACTGTTCTGCACACAGCAAGCAGCAAGCTGAGAACCTCTTTTGACAGACCAGCACAAAGAAGCCTGTAAATCGACAGAGGGAATCTGAAACAGAAAATAAGGATTGCTATATTCTGAAATCAGAAAGTTTATGTCACCACACGTGAAGCTATGTAAAGCTACTTGGTGCTCAGTCACAAAA